GGAGAGTTGAATACATGATTAGTATATGCACTTGGCACATGCTTTTTGATAGTGGCCCAGATCATGTGGCCAAACTTTCATTTAACAAACTTTTACCAGGATTTTTTTCTGTGTGCCTGTGCTAGGTAAAAGATATAGAGATGAGTGGGATCATTCCCTGTCCTTGAAAAGGCAAATCTGTAAGCCACTCTGATGCAGTGTGATGTATTATACTAAGGGGAACTGGCACCATGCATCAGCAGTGTTTGTGCTACTTTTTGAATCTAAAAAGGTTACCTCTCACCTCAGGGGACTCTGGCTGGGCCTCTTATACATGTGCTTTTCTAGGCAAAATTACTTCATTCAGAAGTCTTCTTTTTGTGTATTGCATACCAAACAGCCTAAAAATTGGGCTGGCTCCTTAGTCTAATTGAGTGTCATATTTTGTAGCCACAGTTGAGTCAGAAATGCAAGCATTATACTAGATGTCCTGAAATTAGCCAACATTGGAGGTAGGGACTAGGTTCCCAAGTAAGAGGCCTTATGACATTGCCTCCACAAACAGTATCCCTTTGTCATAGACCCTAGTTCCTGCTGCTTTCATAAGTATACATTGCTCCTGCCATGGACTTGCTGTCTCCAGCAGAAAGCTTTTAAACCTGACCCTCTGGAGAGGCCAAAGAATTAGGAGAGACCCTCTTAGAATCAGGCGATTGAGGTCTTTACTTTTTAAAAGCCTCACTTTTCTCATTAAACTTAAAAATCTCAGATCTGTCTTTCTGATAGTGTTGTTTTGAAAAAACAATGGTATTATACCTGTGAAAAATGTACCATGTAGAGAACTGGGCAATCATTCACTTACCTGAGGGGTTAGAAAGTATTTTGTAGTCCACTTCCCTCCTAAGACATCCCCACTTTCCTAAACTTACAGTCTAGTTGGGTAAGGTACTATAGAAACATAGACATTTTCATTATAATGTGGCAAATGTTAAGATAGGAGAAATAAGAATAGGATGCTTTGAGGAAAGGATATTTAACCTTCAGGTGCAGAGAAGTCTTCTCAGAAGAGATGATGCCTGAGCTGAATTTTGAAAATGAATTCTCCTTAATAAGTATATGGTAGAGAATGAATAGTATTCCAGATCAGATGAAAGGAATAGTATAAAAAATGTGATTTTCACTGTGAAGTTGGAGTGGCAGAGGATTAGGTTGACAGAAAAGTCTGACTATATCAGACTATCTAACTTGGATGTTATTTTGTAGATAGGAAAGGAAGAATCATGGCCAGCTTTTTTAAAATAACAGCTTTATTAAGATATAATGCAGGCTGAGATTGTGGCTCAGTGGTAGAGTGCTTGTCTCGCATGTGTGAGGCACTGGGTTCAATCCTCAGCACCACATAAAAATAAATAATTAAAGGTATTGTATCCATCTACAACTAAAAACAAATATTAATTAAAAATATATAATGCACCAAATTTAAGGTATACATTTCAGAGGTTTTTAATATATTCACCCATACCACTATCCAATTATAAAGCCTTTTCATCACCTCAAAAAGAAACTTCACCCTATTTCTCTCTTTTTAGCTCTTGGCAACCACTAATCTATTTTTTATTTCTACGGATTTGCTTGTTCTGGACATTTCATACCAATGGAACATGTCATTATCTGCTATTAAATAGAACACAGGTTCACATTTCAGTAAGATAATGCTGGCAGAAATGAGGAAGATGAGTTATGGGAGGCCAACTCTGGAAGCACACAGACCAGTTAGCACAGTATTGAAACATTCAGAGGAAGAATGATAAGGCCCTCAACTAGGGCAACAGTAATAGGAATAAAAAGAGAGGGACCAGTCTGAAAATGTTTAGAAGTTAAAATTGGTGGAAATAAGAGTAAAAAGTCTAGGATGAATTCCAGGTTTCTAGTTTAGTAAACTGGGTAGAAAGTGGCAATACCAAAAGACATAAAAATAAAAGCTAGGGGCTTGTGGGTGTAACTCAGTGGTAGAGCCTGTGCTTAGCATGCTTGAGGTCCTGGGTTCAATTACCAACACATGTGTGCACGTATACAAAACTAAAAAACAAAACGAACATAAAAAAAATAGTTTTCTAAGTAAAATATTGGGGTATTTTTTTTGGGGGGGGGGGATGAGTTCAGGTTTGTATGAATGGAGTTCAATATGAGTAATCCAGGAGATGTCCAGAAGATTAGATATGCAACTTACCAAAAAAAAAAAAAAAAAAAAGTGGGGGGCTAGGGCTCAGTATATACATTTGAGTCATCAGCACAGAGGTGGTAATTAGAAATGGAGTACCAGAAGAGCATATAGGTCTAAGACAGTACTCTTGAAAGCATCATCTATGGGATGGGAAGAAGAGCCTCCATTGAAGTCTGCAGAGTAGCCAAAGGTAGAGAAGGGAACCCAAAACTGTAGAATCATAGAAGCCAGTTGAGAATAAAAAAGTTGTGGGAATAGTCTCCAACTAGGTAGTCTTAGCTGCATGGCTCTGACTGCCATATTCTGTACATACCCAATACTAACACAATTCTTGAATCATACACAGATGAAGAAAATAATTAGCTGTGGCATGAACAGAAAGACCAAATAACCTAAGAACTATTTTTGTCTATTGAGCTGTTAGGGAACTCACTGGGATCTTCAATGAGAATATTTCCAGCAGAAGCCACTGAGTGTAAAAAAAAAGTGTCGCAAGCTAAACCTGACTAGCTTAGTGTTTTGTTTGTTTTGGTACTGGGTAGGAATGCTTTACCACTGAACTATATTCCCGGTCCTTTTGTTGAGGCAGTGTCTCAGTTGCTGAGGCCTCTCAGCCTCCTGAGTCACTAGGAAGACAGGCATGCACCTCTATGGCTGGTTTAGCTTAGATTTCTTAAAGGGCAGGCTCGGGGTTTTTGGGAAACTTGAAGCTAATCCTGGTCAGGGCTCCTCATTTTTCTTATCACCTCAGATGTAGACTATTTGACTTTTTTTTTTTGGTTCCAATGACCAACTACTGGCTATGGAGAAACCTTAAGAGAAGTGGCGGTCCATTCCCACTCTAGGAACACTAGGCTATGCAACCTTAACCCACACTGTAGGTCAATGATCATTCCTGCCTTAGCCATTTCTTAGCTGCTTCTGGAGATGCTACTCAGAAGTCACTTTCTACTAGATGGGTGATTTGCAGAAAGTGAACAGGCCTCTATGAATATGGGGTAGAAACTGAACAGCATTGACAAGGGTGGTATACTATGGCCACATTCTATTCCTATCCTGCTGCTCCCAAGCTGGCTTTAATAGGGTTGTTTCTAATAGTAAATAGGACTTTAGTCCAAGCCTTAGAGACAAAGAGTCTAAGTTGTTGGTGAAATAGGAGAAAGGAAAAGAGACATGATAGGATAGTGCCCTTTACCCATGGTTTTGGCTAATGCAGACTGGCATAGGGCCCATTTCTTATCAAGTCAGGGAGTTGGGATGCTGATTCGGCAGGACTGATGGGAGGGTCAAAGCCAGGACAAGCACAAGGACAGTCCTTCTTGGAAGCCAGACGATGTATATGTACTTGGGATCCAGGGTAGGAAGTGTGGTGAAATCACAGGCTCCTTCCAGCTTGAGGAAGAATGGTGTAATCACATCAAGGCCAGAATAATTAATGTGTACTTGATGCTGAGTAAGCAAGAGGTGACTTGACAATGTCTTGGCAACTAGACAACAAGGTTGGCAAGGGAAAGGGGGCTGGTCTTGGTCAGATCGGGCCTTACTGGCCCCAGAAAAGTTTCCGTAAGCCAAGGATTCCTGATCTCTGCTGCCTCTGGAGGAAGGGGTGGGGTGAGAATACCTCCTAAGCCAAAGTGGCTTAGGGTTATTTTGAATGCAGCTATTTGGGGAGAGCTGGTTGCTGCTTTATGTTTGTTTATAGGTCATTTGGATACACTCTTTTCTCTGCAGATAACAGCATTTGTTCAGTGAACATATCCTTAGTCTGACTTATGAATTAAATATGGGGAGGAAGAAAGGACCAAACCAGAATCTGCTCCTGAGGTGTTCATAACCTCTGCTAGACTGTAAGAGGAAATAGCATACAGGAGCCAAAGAAGTTGAGAAAAGAGGGAGATATAAAGGTGAGGACTTAAGAGCAATTTGCCTGAAAAGACATAAAAATTTCTTAGGTAAAAGGGAGAACTGGATGAGGATGTGGGGGGTGTGGCTCAGTGGTAGAGTGCATGATTAGCACACATGGGACCCCAGGTTTGATCCCAGCACTACATGAGAAAGAATGAATTCAGACCATCCCAAATGAAAGGGAATGGTTTAAGCAAAGGCAAAGGTTTGGAGGGCTTGTTCAATCTTGAAGTCAGACTTGTTTAAGACAAATTGGATGGGGGAATGCATAGGGATTCCAGGAGCAGCGAGGTGTCAGGTAGAGGTAGGCCAATTGGAGGAGCCAGATCTCTTTTTGCAGTGCTAGGGATCAAACTGAGGGCCTCACACATGCTAAGCACACACTCTGCAACTGAGCTATACCCCCAGCCAGATCAAACTTTTCATCCCAGGAAATGAAGTCACTTGTAATTGGTGGGCAGTGAAAGTTAGTGTAGGCTAGAGTACTTGTCCTAGTTTACCTCACTTGGCAAGTTAAGGCCTGGGACTAGGGTCTGTGCACTCTGAGAAAAGAGGAAGGGAGGCCAAGGACCTGATAGTCTGTCCTACACTATCAGCTTCAAGAGGACAAGGGTTTCTGTTTTGTTTATTGAGATATCTCTGGCTAAGAACATAAAAAGCAAGGGTAAATATTTGAGTTTAGAGACTGAAGTGACACCTACGGTAGCCACTGAAGTTCCAGAGCTGACTCATCTCTTATGGCTGTCTTAAAGCCTCCATTTCTGACCACTTGAAGTCAGTCAGTGTAGAATGTAGTTCACCGAGAAGCCCTATACTAGGGAGGCATAGGTGATAACTCTATAGCTGGCTAATTCCCACTTGTGAGCCATCTTCTTTTCTTTGGGACCTCTAGAACTGCCTGATAAAGAGAGATGAGAATGGTTATTCTGCAGTGGTGGCTGACTTTGGCCTAGCTGAGAAGATTCCTGATGCCAGGTGAGTAGTCCTAATGGATGCTAGGGCTGCAGAGGAGATTGTTAGGGGAAAATCCAGCTTCCTCCCTGGAGGCTAGGACTTGATCACAATAGTTCAGTGACTGACTTCAGTCAGTCCTACTCTGTACCCATCCATGGGAAATAAGAATTTCCAACATTCAGAAAATTTCCAGTGTGCCAGGCAGTGGTGAATTCATTTTCCTTATAATCTCACCCCACAGCATGGGAAATGAGAAGTTGGCTGTGGTGGGATCACCCTTCTGGATGGCACCCGAGGTTCTCCGAGATGAGCCCTATAATGAGAAGGTAAGTCTGGAGGATCTGGAGACCTAGTTCTCTTTAGAATCCACTTTTAGCAGAAGGTACTAAGGGTCAACCTTTATGTTCAGGTTAAGGAACATTCTTTTTGCCCAAAGCAGCGATGGCATCTGGCAATTGCCCAGTGAATGATTTACATGGGCTATAAGTCCTAGGTCTGGGCTTTTAAGACATGGGGGAAGATACCCCTATCTTCTTGTCATTGAGAGGGCAACTGAAGTCTGATTACCCACCAGGCAGATGTGTTCTCTTATGGTATCATCCTCTGCGAAATCATCGCCCGCATCCAGGCTGATCCAGACTATCTTCCCCGCACAGAGGTGAGCTACAGGCTTGGGGCCCAGTGCCACTGGGACGGGGCTGGTTTGAGCCTATAGAACTATTTTGTCCTTGGGGTGGAGTTGCTGGTACTCATTCTGTGGCTACTTCTGAGAGGCAGCTCCCAGCCTCCTCTTTTGAACAGGCCAGGATGGGTGGGGGATTAATGACCTGTCTACCCATGTCCCTGTACCCACCCCACCATACCCATCCACAGAATTTCGGGCTGGACTATGACGCTTTCCAGCACATGGTGGGAGACTGTCCCCCAGACTTTCTGCAGCTCACCTTCAACTGCTGTAATGTGAGTGTCTTTCTCCCTGTGGCTTTGGTCAGGGGCTGTCTGAATCCTTTTCCACCTGGTTAAGACCATAGGGAGAGGCAGCTGATTAGCCTCATGAGGGGACACATTTTCACTGGATGTATAACACCAACTGCACTTCCTCTTCTGGGCCTGGCCAGGGTCTCTAGAGCCCTGGACCAAGGGAAGATAAAAACAGCTTTGTATTACCCAATAATCCTCAGCTTGCAGGGCAGACCTACCACTCCTTGCATTTGGGTATTGAAAGAACTTTGGTCAGGTTTTATTGTTGGACTGTGGGTTACGCTTGTTCTGAGGCACATGGAGGAAATGCTTGTTGGCCTTCGTTTTATATAGCTAGATAGCCAGGCTAGATCTGTTAGGACAAAAGAGTAGCTAGGCTTTGTTCATGTAATTCCCCAAAATAGATCAGTATCAGAACTCAAGAAAAACAGAAGAAACCAATGTGAGCGTACACTTTTGGAGGGTTGTATTCCAAACAAGGGGATAAGACACACACAAAAAAAGAACTAAGATAGTAAAAGATAATGACAGTAGCATCTTTCCTGCCTTATCCCTGGGAATCATTCTCATGGCCTAGGGCCTCGGGAAAATCTCAAAAAAGCTGCACATCTGCCTCTTAAAAGATGCTAGAAACACATTCAAATTCCACCTGTGGAGTGGGAGGAGGGCGGAGCTCATGGCTGGTGTGGATGCCTACAGATGGACCCCAAACTGCGTCCATCCTTTGTGGAGATTGAGAAGACCCTGGAGGAAATTATGAACCGCCTACAGGAAGAAGAGCTGGAGAGGGACAAGAAGCTGCAACCCACAGCAAAGGGTAAGAGATCATAGACAATCCAACTTGACCCCAACAGAAGAAATTAGTCTATGGGATCTACCCCCCAGGGCTGTGATTGCAAGAACTTGGGTCTAGAAGGAAGAGGGGCAGGAGATCACTGGGGAAAAAGTACTGGACTCTTTTTTATTAAAGAGTTGTCTGGACTCTTTTTTATTAAAGAGTTGTGACTTGACTTACTGCTTTCCTTCTGAGTGTTTCCTCATTGATGAAATGGGACATCAGATCCTACTTTGCTTTCCTAAGTGAAAACACTAATGAAGTGGTACTTTTGTTGATTATGACTACTGAGAATAACCCAGACCCGACTCAACTGTTCTTTAGGACCCTTAGAGAAAGTGCCTTCGGGGAAGAGGCTGAGCTCACTGGATGACAAGATCCCCCACAAGTCACCACGTCCAAGACGTACTATTTGGCTGTCTCGAAGCCAGTCAGACATCTTTTCTCGTAAACCCCCACGTACAGTGAGTGTCTTGGACCCCTATTACCAGCCACCAAGAGATGGTGCTACCCGTACCCCCAAAGTCAACCCTTTCAGTGCTCGTCAGGACCTCAAGGGCGGCAAGATCAAGCTCTTTGACCTACCCAGCAAGTCTGTAATCTCCCTGGTATTTGACCTGGATGCACCAGGGCCTAGAACTACACCCCTAGCTGACTGGCAAGAGCCCTTGGCCCCACCTGCTCGCCGATGGCGCTCTTTGCCTGGTTCACCAGAGTTCTTGCATCAGGAGGCCTGTCCATTTGTGTGCCATGAAGAATCACTATCTGATGGGCCCCCACCAAGACTCAGTAGTCTCAAGTACAGGGTAAGAGAGATCCCGCCATTCCGGGCAGCTGCTCCAGCCCATGAGGCCATGGACTGCTCTACTCCCCAGGAAGAGAACGGTTTTGGGCCCAAGCCCCAGGAGACAAGCCCATATTGCAGAAGTGCCTCTGAGGAAATGGAGGTAGAAGAAGGCAAGCCAAGAAACTTGGCTGCAGTCCCCTAATCTATCTCGAGCATAGGACTGCAAGTCCAGGGAGAACAGGATGGGTAAGGGGGTTTAGTCCCTGTCTTACCTTGGGGATGGACCTTCAGTTGAAGCCATAGGGACCCCTTGGTGCACATCCTCCACTCATCCCTGGAGCCTGGCGAGCAGGTCAAGCCAGGCTAAACTTTTGGGTTCCTATTTACCCAATGGCTGCATGAGAGGGAAGGCAGCAGTGAGAGGCCTTCCTAGTTAGGGCCAACTGGTGATGTTAAGCAAGGAGCTCTAGTTTCTACCTGACCCAAGTATAATTCCCCAGACAGGACCAGAGAACTCTTAGTTGTAGGTTGAGCTGGCAGGCGGTATTACCCTGGTTCTTCTACCATCCCAAATCTATGTTGCCTTTTTTGGGGGCATATAAGCTACCGGATGGAACTTGGAGCTGACCAGGAAATTATAAAGGGCTGAAGACTGGGGTGCTTCTTGCCAGTATGTCTAAGACACTTGAATAATTGCTGTTTGCACTTATTGCATGGTCAGACCACATCACTACGTTTCTATGCAGGGGGAGGGCAAGGTAGTGTGGTGGTCATGGCTCTTAGCTAACCCATTCAAAGAACTTTTCCAGTTGATTAATCTATTTTCATATTTATAAAGGAGTCTTAATGTTCTGCCTCATTAAGACTTTCAACCTTGTGGTTGGGAGTGGGGCTGGTTTTGTAGGCCCTAGGGCCTGCTCTATGTTATCAACAGGTGATAAACACCCAGTTGGTTAAATGGTTTATACTTGGACTGATTTTTTTTCCCTTCCTGCTATAGCTGGAGCTTCGGGAACAGTCTGTCCTTACAGAGCCGCAATAAGAAATAACCAAAGAATGAAGTTGGTCAAATATTTTCATAACTCGTTTCTGTTGATTTTTTGGTAAAACTCTTCCAAGACACTTTCAGATTTAAAAATAAAGTTGGTGTTGCAGGTGCTGGTCAGCCTTCTTACTTGTACCCTCATACCTCAGCCTCTGGGGTAAAGGAAAAGGTCCAGGGGCAATGCAGCCAGTATCTGTTAGGCTCTCCCACCTTAACTCTGTGTAGTTGAGTGTGACATTCACAGGCTAGAGAGACCCAAACAACTCCTTCTACTCTCAGCTTTTCTTCCTGGGCTGAATAAATTGGGTCAGCTGCTGCCCCAAGCCAGCTTCATCTTCTGATTGTGGGCTTTGGAGGAACGAGAGAACTGGCTCTTGGCCACTGTGAGGGGGACAGCTTTGCCACTCAGATATACCTTGTTGTGACATTCGGGTAGCCAGGGTTCAGAGCTGCAGGACTGTGGTCCCTGGATCACTCCCACATAGGCCATCACATAACCTGTCATAAAGGCATCAAAACCAGCCCGGTGCAATCCATCCCCAGGCACTGGGTTAAGACTGGCTTGGCCCCCTGGCACTTCTGAGGTAGCCATGTCAGTAGTTTCATACCTTGTTGCTTTAAGCTCCTTCTCCAAGTCATTTTTGTGATCTTGATCAGAGCCAGGCTGGTCCTTTTTATCAACCTCAGCCACTTTCTGATCAATTTCCTCAGCCTTTAGGTCCCCATGGACTTGCTTTGTGGGAGGACCATCCTCAGCTTCCCCGGAGGTCTGTGTCCCAGGCAGGCTCAACAAAGCCCTTCTACGTTTTTCCCTACGTCGTCGCCGCCGCCGCTTATCCTCTATCACAGCCTCATCAGTGTCAATGATAAGATCAATATCATGGGACCGAGGACACTGTGGTCCCATGGGGCACCAGCCATAGGCCTAGAGGTAGGAAAGAGGGCTTATATAAAGGAGTTTCAAATATCAGAACTTCCCCTCCCCCAGAAAATGAGCAAGTGGTCTCACCGAGAAGTTGTCACAGATACTGGTGGGATGAGGACGGTGAGTTGCAGGGGTCATGCAGCAGCGATAGTCAATATGAGCCCTCATGCTAGAAGGATAGCTGCAGAACTCCAGGGTAAGGTGTGGGTTGCCACCTGCCCGCTGCTTCCCATTTTCCCGCTCACTACAAAAGTGCAAGAAGGTATTGGTCCACTAGATCAAAGAGAACAGGGATTTTTGTCTGCTGAATCTTAAAACAGTGCCTAGCACATGGTAAGTGCTTGACAAACATCTTAAGTGAATGAAACAGACTCATACTAGGCCCCACCCTTTTCCCTCAACCATTCCCTCACCATTTCCGGAATGCATATTCTAAGTAGGAGGCCGTGAAGCGGGCATGAAACTCAGCAGCATATTTGGTATCATAAATGCCTGACGGGAACATCTCACAAAGGTCAGCAGTGAAGGTTCCCAGGCTTTCAGGCAGGTGTGCATAGAAGTTCTGGTACAGGAACACCAAGTCTATAAGGCCATTATGCAGCACAAGGGGCCGACGGGCCCGAATTATCTCCAGGAACAGTGTCCGTACTGACTGGCTCTGGCTCTCATTACCCTAGGTGGAAGGGAAGGGGTCAGATAGACTCCTCTACAGGACATTAATCCCAGGTTTCCCCACCTGGAAAATTTTCCCTTGTTATCTAATCCGATGTCACCCACCCTTGTATTAATTTGTCTTGTTTTCCCATATTGTCATTAGTTATTTCCCATACTCACATAAGCAAATTCTTCTCCGGCATCTAGCCTAGGGTAGGAAGAAATAAAGTCACTTGAGCGCCAGACTCAAGGTTAAGGAAGCTGAAGTCCTACCTTGTCATTGCCCTTATGGTAGGGTATGCCTTGGGCATACTGGCGATTAAAGTTGAAGCCATGCTGCACCAGGAACTGCACAGACTTTGGTTCTATAACATATTCCTCCATGCACAGCAGGGTGAGATTGAACACCTGGACCAGGTAAGAGTGTTCACCCTGAAAGAGAAAGATATGTTATATCAAGATTTGGAAGAAGAAATCCTCACACCTGATTCCCCTGCAACTCAACCCTCCTCCCAACAGCCACAAACTTGGGACAGGAGTGAGACAGCTCCTACCTTGTCAGGCTGCAGCTTGAAGCAAGCAAGGCCCAAGGAGAGGATAGAACGGGTCCTAGCAGCATGACATACAGCCTTGTAACGTTCCTCGATGCACCTTGGGGTTGGTTTTGAGGGCAGTTATGGCTGAATTACTTCATGAAAGAACCAAACCATCCAGGACTGTGACTCCCCACACACTCCAGGGTTGATATCTGCCCCTCCTGCCAGGGCTGGAACTAAAGATTTAATACTTACTGGTTCAGCAAACTCTTTCTGTCTCCAAGCCCACTCAGTTCCTATGGGTAGATTAAGGAAGGGCTGTGAGTGGCCCCCCAGTACCAGTCCCTTCAAAACCACCTGTCCTCCCTGTTTCCCATCTCATACCGTGTCCACAGCCACAAAGCTAGCAGTCTTTATGGCTAACAAGAGGGATGGCCACATCTCCTTGAAGTTGTCACTTTGCACATCCACCACAGGAACCTGGATTAACTCATCCCCAGATTTTGGGCATTTGTTGATACAACCTGGGTATAAGAATGGTGATCAATGTGCATGCTCCCAGGGGAACAGACACCAAGCTAGCCATAGGGGTTGGGTTCCGATGTTAGCTTTTCTCTTAAACCTTTATGTCCAAAGTGCTTCACTGGAATGGACAGTGCCCTGAATTTGGGGAAAGTCTTTAAAGTAAGACTTCCTCCTCAGCATAAATCAGTAGAAAGGTAAACAAGGTATTCGAGGTTTCTTTTCCCGCTCCCTTTAGTCAATATTTCGCAGGGTTTGAGGATGAGTTCCCTTAAACTCCCTTAAGGCGCCTCACTACTGTTCTTATGGTGGCCCCCGCAGCCACAAGCTGTTCCTAGCATGCCCCATCGCCTGATAAATATTGGCCCACACCAGAGCTCTCAATACGTCCTACTTCCTTTCGACCACCACGTGTAACTTGCCCCATTTAAACAAATCACAAGAGTTCCATCCAGACCACACCTCCCGACAGGCCCCACCAGCCCTACGTTCCCAACACTCCCAAGCTTTGCAGCTGAGCGCGCGGCTCGTGGCTGCTTCCGAAGAAAGGAGTTACTTTTCTGAAGGTTAAGGTCTGTCTCTATCAACCAGCCCGAGGTCTTCCCCTCCCCCAGAGCACATAAACTTCTAGAGCGGCCCTTGGGAAGTCGCTCACCGTCTGAGGCCGCTGGAGCTGAAGCTGCGCCATCGTCACTGTCGGCAGCCATGACGCAGAGCGTGCCGCGCGTCCCTCTCTTGAGCTGCCGGAAGACTTCCGTTTAGTCTCCTGGCTCGACTCCGGCGGTCGAGAATGGGGCGGGGTCTCACGCTTGGGGTCGCAGTAGGGTTGGACTTCCGTTCAGACCTCCCGGGCCCTGTGCAGGGAAGTGGGCCCGGCCCGCGCTGAGAGCCTATTGGCTGGTGCTGCGGACTCCCCGCCTGGATTGGCCGGAGCCACGCCCCTCGTTGTTGCGCGGGAGCCGGCGGAGGAGGTAATTTTTCTTACCACGCGCGGCCTGGGGAGGGTGGGAACCCAGTCTTAACGCCTGCGGTGTTTGTCTGCACCGTTCCGGAATGCTGTGGGTGGGCAGGGCGGGATTCCCAAAAGAGGGGGCACTGCCTGAACTGAGCTTAAAATATGCTTATGAGTTAGGCCAGAAGAAGGGCATTGGGGGAAAGAAAGGTGTTCTGGGCGTGGGCAAATTCCCTGGAAAGATGGAGAGCTTAGTGCGGGCGGAGAGCATTCCACAGAACAAGGATGCTGAGGTTATAAAGCGACTGACTAATAGGGAAGCATTTGAAAAAGTCCAAGCGATGAAGTAAAATAGAATTAAGGTTCTGGTAGTGGGGATGATAAGGAAGGGTCCATTTGGAAAGCAATTAGAAAGTATAGCTGACCTAGACGGTGTTTGGGCATGACTCTTACTACCGTGAGAGAGGAGAGAGGTATTAGGAGTAGTAGTCTCTTCCCAGGGACTCTAGTTTTCATTCCCTGGGCCCAGCAACTGATTCTCCTTGTTTATTTTTTCTAGGGCATCTTTTAACTTTTCTCCCCCTACTGAGTCCTTTTCGTCATTATTGAGTTGCTTGGACTTATCCCCTTCTTTTTAAAAAAGAAACACCGTCCTCCATTCCATTAATTAAATTAACAAACATTTATAGTGTTTACCTGCCTTTGGCTTTGAGGACACAACAATTAACAGAAGAGATCTAGTCCTGGTCCTCCTGGAGGTTTTTTGTTGTTGTTGTTGTTTTGTTTTTGTTTTTTGGTTTGTTTGTTTTTTACAGTCAAGTAGGGTGAGCAGGGCTGGATTATGGCTCAGTAGTAGAGGCACTGGGTTTGATCCTCAGCACCACATAAAAATAAATAAAAGTATTGTGTCCATCTACAACTAAAGATATATATATTTTTTTAAAGTAGGGTAAGCAGACACTAACTGGAAGAATCACAATTAAGTGTGAAATTACAGTTAACAGCTATAATGGAGGGTTGGGATTGTGGCTCAGTGGCAGAGTGCTTGCCTCACACTTGTGAGCCTCAGCATCACATAAAAATAAATAAAATAAAGGTACTGTGTCCATCAAAACAAAAAAATATTAAAAAAAAAAAGAGCTATAATGGAGACCTAAGAGAGTAAGGTGCTTGAACATTTAAGCCAAAACCTAAAAAATGATTGGATATTAGGAAGAACATAGAAAAGCTCTCTCCAAGCAGAGGAAATGGAGTGTATGAGGCCTCAAAGTGGACAGACAACTTTGGAAATTTAAGCAACTAAATTCAGGTAAATGTGGCTTGAGCATAGTAAGAGGAGAGGATGAAACAAGTGCGGCCCTGGTACATGGACCTTCAAGTCTATGTTAACAGTATTGACTCATTCTTTTTTTTTAATATTTATTTTTTAGTTTTAGGTGGACACAATATCTTTATTTTACATTTATGTGGTGCTGAGCATCAAACCCAGTGTCTCACACATGCTAGGCAAGCACTCTACCACTGAGCTACAACCACAGCCCCAAATATTACGTTAATAAGACCTACCTTGACCACATTATTTAAAATTGCAACATTTCATTCCCATTCTGGCATTTTATGCCCTTCATTTTCTCTACTTTTCCTCTTTATGCTAATAGTATTGCCTTCTAACATCCCATATAATTTACTTATTATGTGTTTGTATTGTCTACCCTATTAGAATATAAGCTCCATGAGGACAGGAATTTTTGATTTTTTTTTTTTTTTTTTTTTTAGTTGTAGGTGGACACAATACCTTTATTTTATTTATTTATATGTGGTGCTGAGGATCAAACCCAGGGCCTCACACATGCTTGGCAAGTGCTGTACCACTGAGCCACAGGAATCTTTGATGGTTTGTGGTTTGTTTACTGAATAAACAGCTTGACACGTAGTAGACAATCCATATATATTTGTTTAAGGAATTAATGGGAAGCCATTAAAGGTTTTAAGAAAGGAATTGACATGATCATGTCTTGAAAAGGTTACTTTGCTCTTTGGAAAATTGTAGAATAAATTGTGGAAATGAGTGAGTTTGGTAAAAGAAGTCTGGCCATGAAGGGGAGGAGAGTGGGTCTTGGTTGGAAGATTGGAGGAACAGGACCCTGGGGAAAAAGAGAGATCCCTCCTTCACATAAAAGGAGAAAGAAGGAGGTCAATGCAAATGGAGGGAGGTTTGTATTGTTTTTTTCACTGAAGGAGGCTCTTTTATTTATTTTTTTAGTTGTCGGTGGACCTTTAATTTTATTTATTTATGTGTGGTGCTGAGAATTGAACCCAGTACCTCACACATGCTAGGCAAGTAGTCTACCACTGAGCTACAACCTCAGCCCCAGGAAGCAAGCTCTTTTGATGAAAATGAGATGGTAAAGTTGAAACCTTGAGGTAAGAGTTTGAAATAGGCTTGGGATTGCAGCATAGCCAGAGTATAAGAGTGCACACTCAGTTTGAAAGATCAAGTTATTTAATCTCTACAAACCTTCATTTTCTCATAGCTAAAATGGAGGTAGGCCAGCTACTGTGGTGCATGCCTGTAATCCTGGAGGATCATAAGTTCAAAGCCAGCCTGAGCAACTTAGCAAGAAAAAAAATAAAAAGGGCTGAAGATGGAGTTCAGTGGCTAAGCACTCTTGGGTTCAATTCCCAGACTATAAATAAATAAATGGAAGCAGTAGTAGTAAATAAATAAATAAAATGGATGCAGTAGTAGTACCTGCCTTGGGGAGCCATCAGGAAATTGAAACACTTCATGGGGTCTTACATAAACACTGTTAGCCTCTTTTTTTCCATTAGAGAAAAGGCAGCCAGAAGAACTGTCAGAGCAGTGACCTTATTGCTAATGGTCAGTTAGTAATAATTGCTAGATCAGAAAGTTATTAGGAATAAAAGTAGTTCATCTCTTCTCCCATTGATTTGCCATTTAGTCTTAGGCAAATCTTTTTCCCTCTCTGATCCTTGGTTTCTCCTTTCTATCAAATAAAGGTTTTAGTGTAACCATGAAATATTTCTAAGTGGAGAAACCTCCCACCCACCCTATGCCCCTAGATACCTTGAAACAACAACATCATAATAAGCATCAGGAACCCGTAAATACTCCCCAACAGAAGACTTTGGTCCTTGGCCCATATTGACCCTCGCTTGTTACTCTGAATTTCTCATGCTAGTACTCCTGTGCTGGTCATGCCTCTCAGTGCCACAGAAAGCCAAGAGCAAACCCTAGGTGTCTTGAGAGTACATGAGAAAAAAATAGATACTCTGTGAGTGGTATAGGGATAGAAGTGACTGTAACTACTGTGAGGCCCCAAGATTCAGTCTCATTGTGACCAACTACTTGGGCTGGGTCTTTCTCTTCCAGGCCATCATGAGGAAACTTCAAGCAGCTGTGGGAAGTAATTTGGGAAAGCAGGCAGCCAGCCAGGAGAGAAGGAAGAAACGTGCCCCCAATAGTAGCCAGGCCAAGCCTTCTGCTCCTAAGGGTAAGGAGCTTGGTCCTAGCCAAAGACTCCAGAGGCTGGTTTCATTGGCTGTGAAAGGGTGCAGATTTGGACTGAGAAGGGAACCTGTTATGACTTAAAGCATTAAGACACTATTTAAGGGCATAATTCTGTGTTGCTGTGTGACTTTGGGATAATTGCTCTAATTGGCTACTTTTTTTACCAATAATACAGAGCAATAGCCTATGCTTTTCTTCCCTCATGTGACTTTCATGGGATCAAATGAGTTTATGAGCCTGAAAGTGTTTTGTAAATAGGGAACCCTGCATAGATATTTATCATGTCTAACTAAAACTGTTGGGTTTTCATCATGACCCAGAGACAACAGAGCCAGCAGTATCACTCTGAGAAAATTAAGGCCATAAATTGGGTCAATGCTACATAACAGCTAGACAACTGTGGTTGACTCTAGCTCCAAAGCTTAAGCGCTAGACTGGGAGTAGGGGAGGTCCTGTATAGAGTACACCGCCACAGGCTTCTGTGTCCTGGGTTCCTCCTGAGGTGGGTTCCCTATGCAGGGAGGATCTCTGAGTGTCCTGGGACTCCTGCAGACCTGGCCAATCAGCAAGAAGAGAAGATATTTCAGGCCTCTGTCTCCCCGTACCATCTATTCAGAAATAGAACTGAAATAACAGCCTTCAGGAAGAGCCTACTGAGCTGGTATGACACAGAGAAGCGGGACCTACCCTGGAGAAGACAGGTAAGCAGATGAGGAACAAGGAGGGTTGGGCAGGAGAATGGCATCCAGGACCTTCCATACTAACTTCCCACCTGGGCTTGCACTGACAGGCAGAGGATGAGGCAGACCTGGATAGGCGAGCATATGCTGGTCAGTACATCTCCTGAAAGCAGGGGTACCTTGCCTGGAAATGTACAGGTCTGGGGCTGTGGGTTAGGAACAAGGCAGGTTAGCAGTACTCTCATGCCAACCCTTCTCCCCTAGTGTGGGTGTCAGAGGTTATGCTGCAGCAGACCCAGGTTGCCACAGTGATCAACTACTATACCCGGTGGATGCAGGTGACACCAGGGAAAAGAGGGGAGGGTTGGGCCAGACCCAAGAAAAGAGCCTATACTTTGGGATGTGTGTAGAGAAATCTTCCTTCACTGCCCTAACCCTTGATCTCTTCTTCTTTTCTGCTTTGGAACTATAGAAATGGCCAACACTGCAGAACCTGGCCAATGCTTCTCTGGAGGTAAAAGCTATCCTTGGGTAGTGAGAATGGGGACAACTGAGGGACTGACCACTTATCTCTTTGACCTGTGACTCCACCTACAGGAGGTGAACCAACTTTGGGCTGGGCTGGGCTACTATTCTCGAGGCCGGCGACTACAGGAGGGAGCTCGGAAGGTAAGGGGTTGCCAAGGGCAGGGTGTAGAAGCCTGGGGCCTCAAGTGTTTCACAACCTTAAACCTTACCCCAATCAGGTGGTAGAAGAGCTAGGGGGCCACATGCCCCGTACAGCAGACACCCTACAGCAGCTCCTACCTGGTGTGGGGCGGTACACAGCTGGAGCCATTGCTTCCATTGCCTTTGGTCAGGTGAGACCATTTCCCACCCACACTTTGTGTGTACTATCTCCCAGCCAAGGCTAAGTTCTGAACTTCTCTGTACAAGGCAACCGGTGTGGTGGATGGGAATGTAGTACGGGTGCTGTGCCGTGTCCGAGCCATTGGTGCTGATCCCAAGAGCACTCTTGTCTCTCAGCATCTCTGGTATGATACTGGAATAATGGGGGACTATGGGAGGGGTATCTTCAAAGGGTTTTTTTCCTCACAGAGGTGTTCTCTTCTTGTAGGAGCCTAGCCCAGCAGCTAGTGGATCCAAACCGACCAGGGGACTTTAATCAAGCAGCCATGGAACTGGGGGCCACAGTGTGCACCCCACAGCGGCCTCTCTGCAGCCAGTGCCCTGTGCAGAGCTTGTGCAGGGCACGCCAGAGGGTGAGCCTCCTGGGGAGGGAGCACTCAGGAATCCTAGGGTATGGCCCTTGCCCCATGACACCCCACCCTGTCTCTCAGGTAGAGCAGGAACAGTTCTCAGCTTCATGGAACCTGCAAGGCACTCTTGACGTGGAGGACTGCAGTGAGTGCGGCCTTAACCCCAACCCCACCCTCTCCTGCCCCTGTCAGGGAGCTGCCTGTAGTTCTTTCTGAACTAGTAAGATCCTGCTGAGCAAGATCCTGCTGAGCCAGGCCAAGCCTGCTTTCTGGGCTTGGCACCTAAGCCTTCCTGGACTGAGCAGGGCTTGGGGATCTCTGTTTCCAGCTCCCATCACTGGAAAGTGCCAGCTGTGCCTGCCTTCCACAGAACCCTGGAACCACACGTTGGGAGTGGCCAACTTTCCCAGAAAGGCCAGCCGCAGGCCCCCCAGGGAGGAGTACCTGGCCATCTGTGTTCTGGAGCAGTCCAGAGCCCTTGGGGGTACCCATATTCTGCTGGTGCAGAGGCCTAGCTCAGGTACCCGGATGCTGGGAGTAAAGTGGCACAATCAACAAGGAGGAGTAGAGAGAGGAGTCAGCAGCTAAGGCCTGACCCATACCTGGCTGCCCTCCCTCTCAGGTCTGCTGGCAGGACTATGGGAGTTCCCGTCCGTGACCTTGGAGCACTCAGGACAGCATCAGCACAAGGACCTGCTGCAGAAACTACAGAGTTGGACTGGGCCTCTCCCTGCTACCCACCTCCAGTACCTTGGAGAGGTAAGTAAAAGTGGAGGGACCAGGACTGATGACCTCTGTGGCCACATCCACAGATTTATTTCAACCCCCTGATCCTCCTCCCAGGTGAGCCACACTTTCTCTCATATCAAGCTGACATATCAAGTATATGGTCTGGCCCTGGAAGGGCAGACCCCAGTGACCACACCACCTGGTGCTCGATGGCTGACTCGAGAGGAATTTCACACCGCAGCTGTTTCTACTGCCATGAAAAAGGTACTACCTTTGTCTTCATTTCCCCTTTTGTTTCCTACATTGTCTATATGAACCGATTACTGTGTAAATAGGAACACACACACACACACACACACACATTTTAAGCTAAAGTACTGGGGCATAAAGTCAAGGGCAGAAAATAGAAGTTTGGCTCTTTTGGAGAAGATGCCAGCCCTGTCCTTACCCCTTACTCTTGGCTAGGTGTTCCGTGTATATGAGGACCATCAGCCAGGGACCTGCAAGGTAAGTCTCATGGCCCTTAAAGTAATGAGGGCAATACAGTGTGAAATGTTTGTGCAAAGGTAGGGCATTATGCAGTCTGCAATGCCCAAGGAGCCATGAACATTTGGTTAGCTGGAGAAGTTGGCAGAGCCTGCCCAGGTCAGCCAAAGCATAAAAACCAAGCTGCCAAAGCATTTAAGGTGGAAGAGAGGAGCCAGATTTGTACCTCAGGAAGATTTCCTCAGGCTGCTTTTTGTAGAGTTAGGCACAGATAAGATATTTGGAGGCAGCTCTACATATCAGGATAGAACCTGAGCTAGATTAATAAAGAGGAGATGCTGGAAAGAATTCCATGATGTCCTCTCCTCAGTACCTCCCTCTTTTGGCTTCTACACAGGGTTCCAAAAGGTCTCAATTGTCTTCTCCATCCAGCCAGAAAAAGCCCAGCTGGAAAAAGCCCAACCGGGGCCAGCAAGTCCTGGATAGTTTCTTTTGGCCTCATGTCCCCACTGACACACCCAGCCTCAACAGTGCAGCCCAGTGATGCCTCTGAAAGTCCCTATCCCTGAGAGTCCTATTGTTTAATAAAGTGCTTACTTTTTTTGGGGGGGAGGGGGTACTAGGGATTGAACTGAGGGGCACTCAATCACTAAGTCACATCCCCAGCCTCATTTTGTATTTTATTTAGAGACAGGGTCTCACTGGGTTCTGGAGCAGCCCAGAGCCCTTGGGGGTACCCGCATTCTGCTGGTGCAGAGGCCTAACTCAGGTACCTGGATGCTGGGAGCAAAGTAGCACAATCAACAGGGAGGAGTAGAGAAAGGAGTCAGCAACTGAGGCCTGACCCATACCTGGCTGCTCTCCCTCTCAGGTCTACTGGCAGGACTATGGGAGTTCCTATCCGTGACCTTGGGGCATTCAGGGCAGCTGGCTATTGCTGAGGCTGGCTTTGAACCCCGTGATCATCCTGTCTCAGCCTCCCAAGCTGCTGGGATTACAGGCGTGCGCCACTGCGCCCAGCTAAAGTGCTTATTTTTGTAGTCATTTTGGAAAAGTTGCATCCTCTCCCTAGCCCCTTTACTCCACACCTCTGAGGGACCCAGAAAGTATTGGGTCCTGATTCCCACTGGTTGAGCTTCCATACAGCTTTAGGCAGAGGGAGGAGGGTGTGTTCTGTCCACATAATCTGTTCTCCTTTCCCAGGAAGTGATGGCTACTGCAGGGAGCACCTGCCAAGAGTTGACACCCAACACTTTCTAGGTCTCAGGTCAGCTTGATTGGAGCAGTGGTATTATCCTAAAGCAGGTGGTTGGGCTTAACCCTGAACCAGCCTGTCTCTACCTACATGGGTTGCTCCCTAGGGAGAAGGGAAGCACAGAAGAATCTGTCTTAATTACCTACCTCAAATACTAAGTCATTTATTTAGGGATACATTTCACATATAGTGAAAATTCAGAAATGCAAAGGGTTAAAAAAACCACAAATTTGGGGCAGAGAGGGAAATACTATCATAGGGGAACACAAAGGGGTGGGAGTGTAGCTCAGTAATAGAGCATGTTCCTAGCATGTGCAAGGTCCTGGGTTCAGTCCCCATCTTGCAAAAAATAAATTAGTCCTACTCACATTAAAAAAAAAAGAAGAACACAAAGGCTTGTATTAGTTATGTCTGTGACCTAATCATGTAATTTTTTTATTGTTCTTTGTATCTTGTGTATGTATTAGATATTAAATTGTAAGAAATGTTTTATACTTAAACAAACAAACAAAAAACAACACTTCTTTGGAGCCCAGTAAGACTTAACTCCTGGCAGGTACTAAGGAGAAGCGGGGCACACCTGGCCTCTGAGGGTATTGCATTTCAATAGCTGGGCCTCCTCTGAGTGTGTCTCAGGCTACAAGAAAGTGGCTGCATCTAGCTCTGGCTGTCCTCAGGCTTTCTGGCTCCTGGCAGCTTCCTCTTGTATGGATTGCCACAGTGCTCGAATGTTGTCCTGGCCAAACCCTGTGGCCCCTTGCCTCTGAATCAGCTCCAAGAAGAAGGTATCCTCAGCAAAGAGGGACTTGGTGAAGACCTGAAGCAGAAACTTGCCTTTATCTCCATCTAGCAGTATTCCCTGTCGGGCCAGAACGCCAGGTTTGAGCCCCGCAGCTAGGATCTGCTTTTCTTTGCCTGGCTGCTGGTAGTATGCTTCCGGAGGTGTCAGGAGCCGGCCTCCGGCCAAAGCCATACCCTCACTGGCCTCCATGATGTTGGGCGTATACAGTCCTACGTGCTGCAGGCCCGGCCCCCTGTGCCGAACCAGAAACTGCTCCACCTGGTCCTGTCTATAGGTAGCCCCCGGCAGAGACTCGGCCAGCACAAGGGTGGGGACAATGCTGCCGGGTGGAGTCTGCAGGGCCATGAGCCGCAGCCCCCCATTCCCCGACTCAGCTACCACTTCGAGGCCCAGCTCGGGATCCTCCCCTGGGTTCAACGGCAAGTGGTGAAAGCCCAGGCAGTCCTGGAACCAGCGCCTAAGTGTTGGGGAGCTGCCGGGGGTGCAAGCCAAGGTCAAGTGGTCCACGTGGCTGACCCAACCTGCTTCGGGCTTGGAGGGCACCGGTCCGAAGCCCGGTAGGAAGGGCCCTTGATAGCCGGCACGCTCCAGCAACGTCAGGCTGAGGTTGCCAGCCGGCGAGCTGACCACAGCGTAGGTGGCGGCGCCCTGAGCATCCCGCACGATAACTGGGGGCACCGGCACACGACAGCCCCGGGACGCCAGCACTTGGGCGGCTGTGCTCGCATCGTCCACATCGAAACACAAGTTCGTGGCGCTGGGCACAGCATGATGTGGGTCTAGACCGTACAGCGGCTCCCCGGGTCCCGCACCCTCATTCACCAAAAAGACGGCGTCTCCGCTGCGTAGGGCCAGTTGCCGCCAGCCACGTGCTTCCCGCACCGCCAGGGTCTGGAAGCCAAAGAGGCACTGCAGATCCCGGGCTAGGGGCTGCCCGGCCGCCACTTGGAAGGCGATGTGACACAGGCGGCGGGCGTGCACGGCCATTAGGCGCCTCGTGGCCAGCCGGCGGTTCTTCTCCTAAGGCAGCTCCCTTGTCGTTCAGAACTCCCAAGACTTTTGGTCCCAAGTTGGTTGTCCAGAGCCGGTTGGAAACTGGTGGAGTCCAGTTCTTCCCAGAGAGCGTGTTCCTCGCTTGCTCTTTTCTAGGGAGGAAATTTAAAATTTAAGCTGGGTGGCCTTGGGAGCTCGGTTCACCTTACAGTGTCATCCAAAGTGGATCTACTTGGGGATCACCCGCCCGGCAAGGGCGAGTAGTAAGGCCAGTACTGGGCGGAGCGCGACCGAAGGAGGGCCTATGACTCCGCCTTTGACACGCCTTCCTTCAGATCTGTCGCCTAGGATACAGTGGGGACACTGAGCTGCTCCTTCCCAGGGCCTCTGGCGGGGTCACACTCTTGGGCATGGAGGCCCCTTCCCGAGTCCAGGAAATCACAATAGTCACCTTCATTTAATGCCAGGAACTGGATTCACACTCTACCCGTGACCTCAAAGCAAAGGACACAGCCCTTGTTGGTGAAGGATCCTGAATCCTTCCTTCACAAACATGTGATTTCTTAGCAGTTTCATGTGCCTTTAAGTTCTTTTTTTTTTTTTTTTTTAGAGAGAGAATATGAATCTTTTTTGTAGATGGACACAACACAATGCCTTTATTTTTATGTGGTGCTGAGAATTGAACCCCCACCCCCTAGGTCAGTGCTCTACTGCTGAGCCACAATCCCAGCCTGAAGTTCTTTTTTTAATATTAAAATGTTTAGAAGATTTTCATTCCCCTAAACAGTCCAGAAAAATTGATATAAAAAGATGGACCACCAATATGCCATCTATGTGTCTCAGCTACACTTATCTCTCCAAGCCCATTTCTCTCAACATCTTTTGCTCCCTTGTCCCAAGAATTGTAGGGAGGGGGACCCTTTGTTGTTGTTTATTTTGTTGTTCCTGAAAAGAACAGCTGCACTCCACCCTGTCAGGACTAGAACTCAAGTCCCCCTTGCTCTTTGAAGCTTCCTAACTGGCCTTGAGCCAATGCTTTGGGGGTGAGGGGGGCGGTTCTAGCCTTGAGACCCAGGATTGTGTGAGATCAGTGAAGAGAGGAAATTAGAAATCTGGTACTTCAACTGGATGACCCTTTAAGGGTTAAGGACGGGCATTCAAGAAGGGCAAAAGGCATAAGCAAAAAGCTCAGTGAGGATTAAGCTAAAAATAGCATTGGGGAGGCATTTGGGATGGACACTAATACTGTGATGAGTCCTGCTTCCTCACATGTTGAAGTTCGAACATTAGAGAAGCATGCCGAGGCAAGCATATGAAGCAGGGTTTATTTAAAAAGGGGTAACATAGACTTCTCCTGTGAGGGAGAAGGGGGCCATAGCTGGTATCCTGGTATCCCAAGAAGCAAGGTGTTCTGCCCTTTTTATATGTCCTAGACTTCCTTTGTTCTCCTGCTTTCCCCCCTTATCTTTCTCCTTCCAGTGGAGGAGACTAGGCCCAAGAATGCTCGGTGGGAAGGCCAAAAGGTGGGAAATAGGTGGGCTGAAGGGGGAAGGGCAGGGGGGGAGTAGACAAGGACACATTAACCTTATAGCTCCCTGTAGGGTAGGGAAATTCCTGGGACAGGTTACCTTGGCAACAAGTTGGAGCAGGGGCAGCTTCTTGATAAGATCCCTCAGGAGACAGTCTCCAACTTCCCAGACTTGCTCACAATTGGCCTCCTAGATCCTACCTGACTCGATTTACCTATCTACACTGACTGCCTAATTCTAGCTTCAACACCAAGGTTTGAAGCATTGCAAGAGATTCAGGAAGCCTTCTCTGTAGGGATTCACTGGCAAGAAGAAAAAGGCAGAGCGCTTGCCTATCATGTGTGAGGCACCGGGTTTGATCCTCAGCACCACATAAAAATAAAGACATTGTGTCCACCTATAACTAAAAAACTTTTTTTTTTTTTTAAAGGAGGAGGCTATCATAAGGGAACAGGGCTAAGAAAAATAGGCCTGGATGGGTGTTCAAAATTGTAGACAGGAGGAGAATACCTGGAAGCTGGTCAATGCTAAAGGCACTGGGTGTTATTCTGCAGACCAGTGAATGTGAGAACATGAATTCCACAAACTTGAGTTTAAAATTCACCCCTAGCACTTATTACCAAGACTTTTGGTGAGTTGTTTAACTGCTCTGAGCCTTAGTTTCCTCATCTGCAAAAATGGAGATAATAGGGCTGGGGATGTGGCTGAAGCCGTAGCGCACTCGCCTGGCATACACTGGGCGCTGGGTTCTATCCTCAGCACCACATACAAATAAAATAAAGATGTTGTGTCCACCGAAAACTAAAAAATATCAAAAAATTCTCTCTCTCTCTCTCTCAAAAAAAAAATGGAGATAATAATGTCACAGGAGAAGACATCTCTGAAGAGGGTTCCAAGGAGTTACCAGTGAGAAGAGGGAAATTGACCCAGAATCAGGAGGGTTCTTGACATACTTGACAGAAAATATTTTGGGCACTGTGGGTCAGAGGCATAGACAGATTTATCTAGGAAAGCAGATACATATTCAAGAGAGAATGAATGGGGGCAGGCCTTTGGGGTAAAGTAAGGAATACACATTCAAGGGAGAATGTGGGCTATTTCCAGAGGCAGAGACAGCAACCTGTTGGTGTAGGGTGTTAATGTTTATAGAGGGCTGGAGCTAGGGGCTGGTCTAGAAGTAGAAGTAGAGTTACACAATTTTGTGCCAGTTTTCCCTGTGCTTCCTCATTATCCTCTTTTCACAAGGGAATGGTTCAAGGGCATTGGCCAAAGGTGTACAGCTCAGGGGTAGAAGTTTATCTGCATTTCAATGGTTTATGGGAACTTCCATTGAGACTCATTTTCTCCCTTTATTTCCAGATTCCTATCTCAATAGTAACTACCACATCAGGTAGTCATGAAATGAGGTAGAATAAGTGTTCAGTAAATAGTAGCAGTTGCTACTGTGATTATTGTATTATTTTATTTTCTCTCATTATACAATGCCATGGCACTTCCCAGAGGGTATTATGAATTCTGCTAGAGGTAAGGGGGCAGGCACTTCACTGTCAAAGCCCAAGCTGCTTAGTCAGAGTAGCTCAATAAATGGCCCAGAGAAAGCTTTGGCTCATTCCAAGGATTCCTGGGTAGCATTAACTCTCTTCACCCTCATCTCCAAAGGACTTCTTAGCCCCAGGCACTGTGGAAAGTATAGGGACTACCTTAGGGAAAGAGTGCCCTATCTCCTGCCTGGCCCCATTTTATTGATTATTTATTACATGACCTTGAGTAATGTTCTCCCTTATTACATGTCAAACTAAGATTGTATAATACCAACTCAGCTTCCTTCTTAGGATATATCATGGGAACAGGTTGATACTGAACCTTGGTCTTGTACTTAATCCTCAAATGATTGCAGAAGCAATGAAAGACAGTAGCCTTGTCATCCCTCCTTGCCAAAAGTATCACGATTACTAGTTCCTAGATCGTGCTGAATTTCTCAGGTTGTACAGTGACATGGGGGAATTGCAGCCAGGCAAGAGGTCTAGGTTTTACCCTCTGAATTGGGTAGGGCCTGAAATGGTACTAACAGTGGCTCTGACTTGGCTGTCTGTGGGGCTCTGATTTTAGTGGAGTCTGAACACAGAGCCCTGGGAGTAGGGCTCTGGAAAAGCTGGGACAGAATGGGCTACCTTGACCCCTCAGAGTCAGAGCCCCACTGAGCAGCTTTAGAATCTACAGACCTTTGGCCCAGCCTCAGGAGTTTGCACTCAATAGTCCCAGTTATAGACAGGGGCTGAGTTTGTGGCTCAGTGGTAGAGCACTTGCCTGGCATTTATGAGGCACTGGGTTCGATCCTCAGCACTACATGAAAATAAATAAATAAATAAAGGTATTGTGCCCATCTACAACTTAAAAACAGCAGAAACGGGAACCCTGGCCATTCATTTCCCACCTGCTCTAGAGGGGAAAGGTTTGTGGAGGCTAAACGGGAGCTGTCTGAAAGATAAGGGTGATTTTCACTGGAGCATGTTGCTCTGCAAGGGTACTGCCAGGGCACAGACTGGACTCTCGGGCTGAGGGTAGAAGTGGTTGTGCATGTTGGTCTCCCTCCGAGACAGAGACAGATTCCATTTCCTGCAGCTCTACTGGATTCCAGACCATGGCCCACGAAACTCCTTGTTCCCTTACTGTCAGCAACCTGCCAGACTTTTCTCGAGGCCTTCCTGCTGCGGCTATAGTTCAGGGGAGATATGCAGCTAGAGATTGAAGAGAACCGGAAGACACCATTGGAGAGCGCGCCGGGTCAAGCTGCAAGGTGTTGGCGCTGCTGGGGGTTTCCTGCTAATTCTGCCTTCCTTGGCCACAGGGTGTACAGAGACGGTGGCGAGGACTATGGAGGGTCGAGGAGCCCAGTGGCGGAGCCACGTCTTTCCTGCCGCTCTCGGCCTAAGCCTAACAGCTAGCGGGGGCACCGTCCGTTTGGCTCCAAAATCCTCTCAGCTTTGTGTCTCACCTCTCCCTGTCGGCGTAAAGCTCTCCAGACCCAGCCCCTCCCGATCTCTCCGCTCTGCTTTCCTGCGAGAAGAACCCGGAAGCTCGTCCCTTTCTGGATCCGCCCCTTCTCCCGCCCTTCCCTAGTTTTGACCCCGAGCTCCTCCTTCTTTTCTTCCGCCGGAAGCAACCCCGGAAGCTCCTGCCTTTTTGGACCGGTGTCTGCCCTCACGTGACCTTGTCCCACTGCGATTGTGGAGATTTGACATTTTACTGGACGTGACCTAGAAAATTTCAGGGATGATGATATTTAAGTTTTTTTTTGTGTGTGGTAAAATACACATACTATTTACTAACAACCATGTTCGGTGGTATTAAGTATATTCGTGTTGTGCGACAAATCCCATGGTCCATCTTCAGGACTTATTCTTCCCCAACTGAAACTGTACTCAAGAAACAGTGGGTTTCCATTTTCCCTTATCCCAGTGGCAA